TGGGTAGCGTCCCATACCACCACTCACACTAAGGCACCACCTAAAGGTCACCCAATAGTGAACTTACCATTCATCCTTTCCACCTTTACACAATAAAGCATTTAAGAGACATAAACATTACATGAGTCACATCATCACATTAAGACCAACATCTAAGACAACCCTAAGTCATACTTGTGCAATGTGCAAGTAGCATCCCATACTACTACCCACATTAAGTACTCCTTTAAAGTCACCCTAGACAAGGCACATTTATATACAATAAGTCATGACAAAGAAGTAACTCATACTACAATCCAAGTATAGCATGCATATTCACATTTAAGCATTTAAGCCAACATTCTTCATTAGATTCATTTAGGACATATTCATGCATTTAGAGGACTTTCATGCATTTAGTCATTAAGTCTTAGAGAACTCATTATAGCCTCTTCAAAGCCTACTCGTGCAATGTATAGATAGCATCTCATACTACTACCTACACTTTGTAGTACCTATCAAGTAACTATAATGCACATCTCACATGATGGGAATAAGTGGTTAACCGATCTTTTTGTATTTTCCCAATAAGTTCTTTTGTATTTTCCCAATCTTCATAGCCAATTCTCAAATTCGGGTCCGCATTATGAGCATTAAAAACTATTGTACCGGCTCTTGATAAATATAAGCAACTTGAAGCATTTCAAATAAGAATTCCATCTAGTGCATACTTCTTTTGGAACTTTTCTATATTCAAGTCCACATTCTTTACAGCGATTTTTAAATTCTGTAATTCTAGCTTTTATTTTAGCTTTAAAAATTCAATTTACAAGCAAGTCTAATTTTTTCACTAAGAAATTCCAAATTTGAGAAATACCATCTTTTACTATCAAATTATACACATGTGCGGCACACTTAATATGAAAAGAATCATTATTAATTGGACAAAGTCTACATTTTAAATAATCAATTGCTTTTAAATTATTAGAAGCATTATCTAAAGTGACACTCATTATTTATCACATATTCCATAAAATTGTAAAATAGAGCTTATTTTTGTTGCTATATAAGAACCAATTTTAGTTTCTTCAACATATTTATATCCTAATATTCGTTTTTGCATGTTCCATTCATGGTCAATCCAATGGACAGTAATTGTAAAATAATCATTACCATTAGGACTACATCCCATATCAGAAGTAATAAATAATCTACCATCATAATAAATAAATAAACAACGAAGAAAATGACAATATCCTTTTTGATATTTAAAAAAGATCACTTTTAATTGTACTTCTTGGAATACCTTCATAATCTGGGTTATACAATTCCCGAATATACTGAATAAAACCAGGATGTGAAGGAAATGAAAAAGGCAAACCACAAACAGCAACCATTTTAGCTAATTCTCTACGATCTTTTTCTTTACTATATGTGCGGTGTGTGCTTCGTCTAGGCAAGTTAGTCATATTTAATACACTTTGAACCATATTAGAACCTCCAGCTCCCATAGAATTTTCAGGTTGAGGTATTCCATTTCTATTAGCCCTTTCTATATCATCTAGGCGAGCAAATTCTTTATTACACTTTCTCAAATGTGTTCTTAGTCGTCCCGTTCCCCCTTGTGTACCCGTAGTTACATGTTTCATGATCAATTTACATTTCGTACAAGTAACAGTAGTTTTTTCCTCATTTTGTACCAAAAATTTCCATACTAAAGATCTTTTAACACGTACAACGGTCTTTGAAAAAGTAGGTAAAGAGGGGACTTCATCTTGTTCCGGTAATTCGGTAGCCGGACTAGTAGGGGTAGGGGTCTCATCATCTTCCTCATTTATTTCTACTTCCTCATCTAATTCTTCCTCAAAATTAGTAAAACATCTATTTAAAGTTTCATGATCTACTTCATTTTAGGAATTAAATTCAATAGGTCATGAGTCTCGTGTAAAAGAAGTTTCATCAACATGAGTATAATCATTAGTATTAATTCTAAATCTAGGAGGTGGCAAATTTTTAGAATTAGAACTACTTCCTCCTCCCCTATTATTTTTTCTTTCCGACATTGGTCTTTTACCACTACTGAACTCCAAGCCAATATCACAAAATAATAATTATGAATTTATGAGAGATTGAAAATTGAGAGATTTTGTAAGATGTTAATGAGATAATTTGTGAATTTGTGATTTAAATAAAAGAATATGGGTATATTTATAGTGTTAAGAGGTTAAAGAGGGAGGGGGGGGATGTTTTGAGCCATTTTGGGCCCCAGCCCAACGGCTAAAAGGGTCCAACGGCTCAATTTTAACGTTCACTAAAAAAATTTAAAAAAAAATTAAAAGACCGTTGAATCGGTTCAACCGGACAGGAACCAGACCAGAACCAGTTCTTACCGAACCGGATCAACCGGATAAAAAATTGGGTTCCATTTCGGTACCGGTACTGGACTTACCGGTACAGGAACTGGACCGGACCGGTCAAAAACCTGTCCGTTTGCCAGCCTTAATATGCATCAACTTCGATATATAATCAAAGGGAATGCGACCATTTACCCATATGTATATGTATATGTATACGGTACAACTATCCATGATATGGTAGAGATGATGTTGGTTAGAAACCATAAGAAAATGACCATTGCCAACCCAATGCTAGCAATGGTCATTTTCTTATGGTTTCTAACCAACATCATCTCTACCATATCATGGATAGTTGTACCGTATACATATACATATACATATGGGTAAATGGTCGCATTCCCTTTGATTATATATCGAAGTTGATGCATATAATATGTCATGATATGAACTTTGAATGCATATAGCATGACGTTATAAAACTTACCCAACTTTTACTCTTTGGTATTATTAATCTCATAATTTTGTAATCATTTTATTATAACATGTAAATGCCTCGTACAAACACATATATATGCTTTATAAATAAACTTGAATATTTAACTCGACTTTAGCTAGGTAATTTTGACATGTGAATGTTCGTAACGAGTTTAAGGTACTTCACTTAGTTCCTATACATGTTTCTTTAATAGATTGTAAAAGAAAGTATTTTTGAAAACACATGGCCTTTCATAGTTTAAACATACAAGTTACATTGGAGAGATCTGGAAATAAACTTATCATTTTAATATTTTTCTAAAATACTTTTTAGCTAGAGGAGAGGATTAGTTGAAAATTCTTAATGTTCCTTCATAATCATTTTAAGACACAACACCCAAAGAAGAATAAGAATTCATACACATGGAAATATAGTCAAGAAAGTCGACAAAATGACCCGTAGATGTTAAATACCCTATATAATCAAACAAGTGAAACATTAACATAATAGAATCACGAAAATACTTTAGCTCACATCCCAATACCTTCCAAAGAATGTCTTTCTAGCAATATAGTAGTAAAATATCACATTTGATGTTTAGGAAATTTTCTAAAAGTCGTGCTCAAAGGAAGAATGAAACTTAGCCTTGACATACATCGCAAACGAGCTATCAAATGCCTAAAGATCCTTCATGAAAATTCTTAATTATATCCTAAGCTTCACAAAGAATATAAATATGTAGTCTACAATGACCTGTAATAGTTAAGAAAAACCTAAAACACCATATGTTAGGTAAAATGACAGATTTTCTATTCGCAACATAACTCGTCAAAACAATCGTAAAACTTTCCACAAGTGATCACAAAAGGGTCTATGGACTTTTACCTTGTAAATAAAGGCATAAAGCTCCAAGAACATTTAATCATCACCAATTTCTTTCATTCGAAAATTTACTCAAATCTAACCAAAACAATATAGAAATATGTGCTAGTTGCTCTCCACAGCAACCCTAGCCTATGCCTTAATTTTTTAAGAACTTGGATGGTGAAATATATTGGTTTTGACTTTTGAGTTAGGAACCCTAAGGTAAAAGTGAGGAACATGAACTTTCTATTTTGGGATTTTTTTTTTCCAAAAGAAAACAGTCTCAAAATAGACTAATAAAGTGATTTTGTCTCGACTCAATTTCCTAACCCGGATCTGCCCAGACAGTCCGCAGTAAAATTATCATAATTGTTTACTCTGTCTGATTGATGTAAAGTTATGTGGATTGGAAACTAGACTCGCATATGTTTGATGTGATAGTTCATGATCTCTCTAACTCATTATATATTAATAGATATTCCCACCCCCAAGTCAGCCCACAAATATGATTGTATGAAAAAATTTCATCAATAAATTGGTCAATTAAGATTTTTGTTCCAAGGCTCCCTTTGGCCTATTGCTTTGGTTCGGAAAAATATTCAAATGAGTTACTATATACATTCCTTGATACAATTACGCATTTTCAATTTTACTCTTCTGATTTCATATAAATTTATGGATCTCGCCTAGACGAACAATGTAAAACTCTAGAATTAGGATAGTAAGCCTTCGATGGGATAATTTAACACTCTGAATGGGCAGGGTGTTACACCTATGATGTCTTCGGAATACACGTGCTCTCGCACTAATACTATACTTTTATCTTTGGATGTGTTTTTTGTCATTGCACTTCAATTAGTATTTTCTGAGAGCATAACTTTAAAACTTTACTTCTGCTATTTTCTTCAATTACATATGTTGACCCGAAGTTCGCTTTGAGTGACTTAGTGTAGGTGTTATCGTGACCTTTGAATTTTGAATTGTGACACTTATATACCACATAAAGGGGTATATATATGAAACTAAATTTGTTGAATCACTTATGTTATTTTATATTGTAGATAAGGTAGAAGACATCTCTATTAAAAAACCTTAAATTTCCTTACAAAAATTTTAAAAGCTCTTTACGAGAAATATAAGCTTGTCTAGCTTATATTTCATCAGTATTATGAGTACTGCTATCATTCCTGTAATAATAAAGACAATTGTTAAATTTCTGTCCTACTTTTCTAGTACATGTGAACCTTCTGTTTTAAGGGCCTTTCTCTTCTATAAGCACATGCAGGTATCTTCTTTGAAAAATAAAAAAATAAAGATTGTCTAGCTTTAAAAGATCAGCCTCTTGTGGAAACAAAAGGAACCTGAAGGAGATGATCAATATACATAAATACAGTTAGTTATACAAGAGAATTTTCTGCATTATGGAATTGCTTTTATTAGCTATTCGTTTGTCCTCCAATGTCATATTATCTCAGTGCATCATCCCAAAATAGTGAAGCTGCTACTTTCTATTGGTCGGCTGCTTGAAGTGGTTGGGAACGCCGGGTTTGTTTAATGACAGTGATTGGTCTACCAGACACAAGTCCAATTGTGCAAAACTTGAGCAGTTCCAATAGAGAGGAAGAAATGAGACATTTTAGGAGTTCCTCCACCTTAAAATCAAGTAAAACAAAGTGCACGTTTGGCGGCTTCAAGGGTGTTCAGAAGAAGCATTGCAACTGTCATAGGACCTACACCTCCAGGCACTGGGGTTACAGCAGAAGCGATCCTGACTGCTTCTTCAAAGCAAACATCTCCAATCAAACGGTAACCATGTTCACTCTCAGGGTCCTGCACCAATTAAACATACAAATGTGTACACAATTATTTAAATCAATTTACTCTTTCGGACAGAAAGTTATGATAATCCAACTGAGTTAACTTTCACTGTTATGCACTTAGGTGCACAAGATAATGCAATATTACGGAGGAACTTGAGAAATTACCTCAATTGGGTTTATTCCTACGTCAAGTACAACTGCTCCGGGCTTTAACCAGCTACCACGGACTAAATTAGGTACTCCAGCAGCTGCCACAAGTATATCAGCTTCGCGAGTAATAATTTCGGGATTCTCTGAATATGCATGCACAATGCTTACTGTTGCATGGTGCCTCTGCAAACATTGTTCACACCGTTTGATATGGTGAGAAGAAAATAGGTAGACTTTAATAAGGAGAGATTATATTAATATAAGCAATCAAAAATATCTTGTTACCAAAGACTGGAATACGCAGTATAATAAATCAATCCCATGTTTGGTATACAAGCAGAGTGTTTATTTCCTCATTATGCTTTTGCAATATCTTGATACATATGCAATCTAGTGCTATACATAGAAATGCAGAACATCAAAATATTAAAATTGTTTGACATTACTGAAACTATTTACTTATACAATAGTTAAAACAATAAAAGTTTATATGCCCCAAAAATTTAAAATAGTCAGGAACATAGTTAACGAAAAAACGTATATGATAAGGGAAATGAAACCTCAACTTATAAAACTTATACAACAAAAACTATGCCTCAGTCGGAAAAAAATCGGGGTCAGCAATGTGTAACAACCTTCAAAGTCATTTTGAGATTCTTACGTGTTTTCCCTGGTGTACCCTACCCGTAGATTTTGTAGAGTATTTGTGGCCTGCAGTGATGAGTGGCATAGTTCCCGAAGTGATTGGACGGGATTTTGACGAGTTTTTTAAATTTGGAAGTTGAAATGTTTGACCAAAGTCAACATTTGAGGAAGATGAGCTTGGAATGGAATTTCAATAGTTTTGTTTGGTCTGGAAGGTGATTTTTGAGTTCATTGGACTTTTGGTTTGGATCCCAGGGCATTCGGATGAGAATTGGGTCATTGGTAAGGATCTTGAAAATTTAGAAGTTAAGAGTTGACCTTAGTTAACATTCGGTCAAGACGACCTATGTTTAGCGTGTTGATGGTTCCAACAGATCCTAAACGTCATTTCCAATCTACTAGCATATTAGATTTGTCTTCACGAAGTCCCGAACAAATTCCAAGGGCCTGTTAGAGAATTTCATGCAAACACTAGTTTTTGACAGATCTAGTGCAGGAGAAATCCTTCTTCGCACTCGCGAGCCTCTCGACGCGTTCGTGAAGGAGTAGGTTTGGTCTTTGTGATCACAAGGGTCGGACCGTGTTCGCAAAAAGGTTAAGCAGGTTTGGGTCAGTGCGAGTGTGCATCACATTGGTGGGCTAGGCGATGTGTTCGCTAGGGTTGGGTGGAGTCCATGCATAGATATGGTTCGTCGCGTTTGTGATGAAGGAAGTCACCTGGATAGAATTAAAAACCTTTTTTTTTTTAACTTCGACTTGATAACTCGATTTTGGGACGATTGAAAAAGGGATTTTCAAAATTTCTTCAGTGGGTAAGATTCTAAGCCATTATTTTAATCATTCCCCGCTAATTATTTATCTATTTACCTTTAAATCAGTGTTTTAATTTGGGAAAATGGTAATTCTCGAGTTTAAGTTATGAAATTGTATTTTGATGAGTTGATGGTCGATTTGAGCTCCGTTTTTTTAAAGAAATATCAGATTTAAGTTCCGTATGTTATGGCTAACATGACTTTCAAAGAAAATTTCAATTTTGCCCTTGTGGGCTTGAAGTTGACTATTTGGACTTGGAGTAAAAGTAAAACAATATGGGTGTCTATTGACTCGTTTACTTATACAGGTTACGTATTTGACCAGATTGGACTCGTTCAAAGGCTTTGAGGAAGGTAAACCATAATTTGACTTGTCGAGTTCAATTAAGGCAATTTGAGACTTTTTTCAACTCTTTTTGAATTGTTAGTGTCTTGTTTGACAGTGTGAATGCGTAATGGGGGCCCGTATAAGTGAGATGACGAGCACTTATGCGGATACAGATGCCATGTTCTAGGTAGAAGTCAGATATTGATTGCTTAATTGATTTATGACTTTTATGTATGTTGGAAGCATGATAAGTGATTTGTCTTGTTGTTGCCCGATGATATGATCTGCTTAGTGAGCAACAACAACATCAGCATACCGGTTAAATCACACTAAGTGGGATCTAGGGAGGGTAGAGTGTACGCAGACCTTAACACTACCTGGTGGAAGCAGAGAGGTTGTTTCCGAAAGACACTCGGGTCAATTTGCCTAGTGAGCATGAATCATAATTTCTAGACAATGTGAATCTGAGATCTTTCCGCGACTATAAGGCATTCTCATTTGCAGTTATGATGTCTTATCTTTTGTATTTAAAGCATTCTATTATATTTCATATTAGCTCATATGCAGTCTTTCTTCTCTTCTTTAAAGCCTAGAGTTGGAATTTGTTGAATCATATCGTTCTCTCCTATGTTGCGCGGACTCTTCATTTTTGCAGGTGAACCCGTCTCGACGCGACACGGTGCGGGAGCGGGTGCAAGGTGCGTGTCGGATTCGGTCAATCTGATCCGGACACTTTGACCAGAGCCGAGAAAAAATTTGGGGAAAAGGAGAAGTTTCCGGCGACGTCTTCAGAGAGGAGGCGGAGCTATACGAAGCTTGAAAAAGTACAGAGAAGAAAGAGGAGTTTTTTCTTGAAAAAGTACAGGAAGTACAGCTTTTTTATCTTTTTTGAAAAATTAGTCTTTTCAACTTTTCTTGAAAAAGAGAACTAGAGACGAAGGGTTTCTCTAGATAAGTGTGTCCTTTTCTATTTATAAAATAAACTATACTTTTAATGTTTATTATATTCTCTCTCTTTTTTAACAATTATACTCCTTTTATTTTATATGCAATTATACCAAAATATGCAATTCATTATTATATGTATCTCATAAATATTTTATTTTTTTTATATATATATATATATATATCCACTTATTTGATTATACTAGATATATTATTATTGTTTTTATTGATATAATTTATTTTTAGAGGTACGCTAAAAATAATAAGCAATTATACCATGTATATATAATATTACACCTTATATTATATATACCAGGTATACCAATTAGCCGTATCCCCGCACCCGTATCTATACTCGGATTCGCACCCCCGAATCTTAAAATTTAAATTTTGCCGAATCCGACTCTCGAATTCACATCCGTCTCGGATACCCGCACCCGAGTCCGATCAACTTAGGTTCTCTCTGATGGCACAAGGGGAATGATCTGAAGGTAATGTGATACAGTTATGAGAAACGGTGCCTTCCTTAATATATTTCCGATGACCTACAGAGGATCCAGAATCCAGAGGCGGTATATGGACCTCACAAGTCCCCAATGGTTCCTAGCTAGCTACACTATTGCAGTTGGTAGACACCTGTTTTTGGCCAGGTAGGAGACATATGCATCATATGAGTCCATTACATTTTTCTGAATTTGGTGTTGTTATGGTGTGATAGGTGAATAAGTTCTTATAAAACTGACTTCATAACTTTTATTTGACTATACTGTGATTTCGGAATATCTGGACTTGATTTATATATGTTTTTGTGACAATAGCTGCTAGTTAAGGTCTATATAATTTGTAATGAGTAGTATTTCTGCAAAGTATCGGCACAGAGCAATTTAGGATTAACCCTCGCCATCACTTAGGATTTGGGTTAATCAACGATGTTGTTGAGTACACGTGGATTCATATTCATGTTGTTGGTAGCGGATTGATCTTTCACTCAAGATTTTGAGGTAGCTACTTGGCCGATCTACAGTTCCTTGGATCTCCTCTATCCTTATCTTATTTTACGTCATTTCTTCTTTTAGGATATAGTAGAATTGAAGTGTATATTTGAATTCACAGAGGCTTGTACTAGTGACAATAGATTTTGGGGAGTTAGGTATCTATTTTCACATTCCGTTATGAGTTTTACGTAGATTGATTTTATGACTTAGTGGGTGTTTGGATTGACTTATTTTTTTGTGAGTTTTGACTTTTAAACTCTTTTTTAGTTTTGGAACTGTTAGGGTAATTTAAAAAGTCACTTAGAAGTCAAAAGTAAGGTGTTACCAACTTATGACTTTAAACTTTTAACTTATAAGTCACTTAGAAGTCAATCCAAACATCCCCATATTCTGGTTTTTTGTATTACTTCAACGTGCTTGATTCTTCATCTTGTGATAATGATTGGGTTCCCTATCAGTGGGGGTTGAGATAGGTATCATCACTTCCTCAATTTTCAGGCCGTGACACTATATGAATCCTTACTGACCATGTTACTCCATTTAAACTAATCACAGACAAAATTATGCAAATACAACTGATAAAGCTATCACTTAATTTATATACTAAAGTATTCTATCATTAGCACTCAATCTTCTACATTTAACTTTAGTCTGAACTAACTTAAATTAGCATTAGCAAGGAAATTTTACACTAATTATTGCAAGGCTACAAACTGTGTTAACAATACTCTAGTATAACAATACCACAATGGTGTGGTTATTGAATAATACACAATGACATATAATTGGACAAAATCTGTGTATGAATGACTAATTATTCGATCTCATGTCTAATACTATGTGCTATTGGCGTATAACTGACACCTTAGTGTGGCACATATATTTGAGAAGAACAGGATTAACAAGATTAAAATAAAGCAACAGCTATCTGTGACAGATTTATTACCTGCAACAACAAAAAAGTAGGTAATCCAACGATGTTGCTCCTCCCAATCACTACAGCTCTCTTCCCAACGATTTCAACATCAGAACTTAGCAGTAACTCGATGCAGCCTTTAGCAGTGCACGGGATGAACAATGGCTCTCTACCCTGAATGGCCAAGTTCCCAATGTTTAATGGATGAAATCCATCCACATCTTTTTCTAAGCTTAGTACATTTAAAATCTTTCCCTCGTCAAAATGCTGTTCCAATGACTTCTGTTAGCAACAGAAAATATATAACAGACTGGGTGGGTAGGGGGAAAAGCATAATGACTACACCATATATAAACTGTGATTGCACAGACTCAATTGATATCTCTCCTAGATTTCAAATCTAATATTCTGAATTTCAACTTCCATCTGACCATAACAGAGATGAGCTTTATTTTCAACCATTTTTAACATCTAGTTTGGGAGAAAACAACGAATAAAGAAAATATTCTCAAGTTTAAGTATCAACTAAATTATCGGAGACTGGTAGTGTCATGCTTTCTCATGTCTTTCACATAAAATGAATAAGCACATACTACTTAGTCGAAGATGTACCTGTGGCAAAGGAAGCTGCACAAGAATACCGTGGATTGATGCATCCTTGTTATAATTTGACAATGCATCACAGACATCGTCTTCTGTACAGCTCTCAGGGAGTTCAGCAATTGAAAATCTGAACCCAACCTCATGGCAAGCCATTATTTTGTTACGGACATAGGCAAGAGAGTCTCGCCTTTGGCCAACTAATATTACAGCCAAACCAGGGACCTTTCCTATTGACTCCTTCATTCTGCTAACTTCTACAGCTATGCTTGATTTAATTTCCTCGGCAGCAGACCTCCCATCAATTATTCTAGCACTATCATTGTTGACTGCTGAAAATAAATTAACTAGAAGCAGAACTTTTCTTTGTTTCTTTTTTGGTTCAATCATAGGGAACTTGAAAAACCGGAATTGCAAAGAATAGTTAAGGGTAGTGAGTGTTCAGGATCATCAAAAAGCATGATTGTACAATATTAAAGTGATGGAACAACCAAGGTTGTGTAGCATGAAAATTTCCGCCCCCAAAAATTTGACAAGTATTTACTTTCTGAGGCTAAGGCGAGATCGGAAGCATAGTTTGACAATGTGAGGTGAAAAGTCCAAAGAAAATGGTCCTTAAGATATAATAGAGTCCTGTTACCCCAAATGTTTCTTTAAAATTTGGTTCCTTTGTTAAGTTTGGTCCCAAAACCTTTAAACCCCTGCTTTTGGAGTTTGATTAACCCAATGAGAACAGCCAAGTAGTAGCATAAACTGTCCCACTAAATTGGAAAAAAGAAACTATTCACTATTGTTTCCATCAATATTTTCTTCTTTATTAATGTTTAGGTTGCAAACAAAGTATCTTCATAAAGTGACAACTTTCTTCCGTTTCTCTTGTTACTCTTTTGCACATGTGTTTCTGAGATTTCGTAGAGGGAAACAGAGAGGACATTGTGATAGACCTCATAAAGAGGATACTTATATTATGACAAAAAGTGAAGCTATTTATTTATACCTCTGAGAAACTAATTTACAATGATCATTTCTTACATGTTGACAACAACCACAGAAATGGGGATTTGCATTTCCCTTTTTCTTTTTATGTGGCAAATAGCATTGACTGCTCTAATTGAAGTATGCACTTGACTAGAAAAACTATCCAGCATTGGAAGAATGATTATTACTCATACACCATTTTCTGACTACCGCAAAATGCAGCCACATCTATGAGTCAAAGCTTCTCAAGAACACTGAACAAATCCATAAGATGATTGATTATGTTGAGAAAATACTTAGAATCCAGTAACATACCTAATCAAATATGTGATCGAAGCTAGACTGGTAATAAATTTTATACTTGTATTTCAGGGTTAATATGAGTAACCCTGAAATTAATTTAATATCCCAGGGATAGTAGAAGAGAGTTTCTCTTCACAATCTCAGCAAAACAAAACAAGATGGCAAGAACACAATAAAAAAGTTAATAATATGTTGACAAAATTGTTATAAAAGAAACAAAAATAAATATAGAATTAGGGCTGTGAGAAAAAAGTGAGGTGCTTACTGGATTTTTGGATTGGAGGAGAGTGAGAATGGGTGAAAGTGGAAGACCACTCATCGATGAGGTCAAGTGAAACAAGAGATGGAGGCCTTGGCTTTCGAATCTGAGACGAACTTAGACCTCTTGATAATTTATTCATGCTTCTCTCCCACACCATTTTTCTCATCATTCTCACAGGGATCATTTTTTCCCAAATCTCAATGCCAAACATCCACCATTACCAATTTTTATACATCTCTTTTAGGATTTCTTATGGTAACAAATTTTATAGGCCTAACGCACTAACGCATCGGTATCCTTTAGAGTTGGCACGAAATTTCACTTGAACACCTCAACTGAACGATGTTCATTCTAGATACCTTATGTAGAGTTTCATTGTGTCATTTTAATACTTTTCTTTCAATCAACAAAATTATATGAGGTGTGTATTATATTCGGGAATGACGTGTAAAGTGACAAATTAAATGATGACACTTGTCACTTGTGTCAAAAGCAATTCTAAAATAATGAATTTTGAGTAAAAATAAAAAGTGACCTATGACTGAATAACATATGGATTTTACCCCAAAAAATAAAATAAAATCCCCCATTCCTCCCTACCTTGCAGAAACAGCTGCACCCC